CCACAGGACACAATAACCAACGGCAGCAAAGTCTACGAGTGGTGGAGCGATTGCAATTAAAAAACCAAATATTAAAATAATGGCAAAGTACAACACGCCGAGCACACACACAAAGCGTCCAGACTTGCAGATTGGCATATAAAAGTAAGTATTAATTGGTTGCATTGGAATATTAAACTGAAGTCAGATAAAGGATTTGTCCATATTTATGTCGTTAAATTTAATTTGGTTTGTCAAAATAAAAGTTTTTAATTTTAATCTAAACGTATTTTTGTTTTTCAGATCTCTAATTGGTGGTGGAATATTATTCCAACATTTGGAAGCCGCATAGCGAAAGCTGCAGTTTTATGCTGAGGAATGGCGAGCTGCTGAGCACACCGCCTACCCTCACGTTCCCGATAACATAGAGTACAGGTATGGAGGACACTTGTGTTTTATCACGTCGAACAATAGACAGGCGAGGTGGAGCTTACGACGAGATTTCATTTTTAAAACGTTATGTTTATTTAGAAAAGGCGTAATATGACTCCTTGGTGGAACATTATAGCAAAATCGTGCGCAGGCATTCTGTACTCTCTGTATTAATCTCCCGGTGCGTGCTAAGAGCCTGGGGCCTATAACGGTATCTGCGTAGTTTAGTTTGGATAGAACCAAACTCTTCACCACACGCAGTAACGCAGCAAATAAAGTAAGTAGGTACTTATAGTAAGGTTTTATCTCTAGATTAGAGTGCAAATTTATAATCAGCAAAAGACTGGTTAAGAATATGTTTAATTTATTAAACTATTACAATTTGTGTCTTTGAATTTGTGCAACATACATTATACATTTAAATATAACTACTTCAGAATTAACCAATCTAAGAGTAAAAAAAAATGTAAAATAACCTGGGTGTCTTCAAGACCCGAGTAAATAGGTTGCTTATAAGTCGACGTGCTCCATCGTAGACCGCATCATCGCTTACCACCAGGCGAGATAGTGGTCAAACTTTCATCAGCCCATCAAATATATAAAAATAATAATCGCCTAGGTAGGTATAATCTGTTTCATTAAACAATTCAGTAATATTGTAAACAAACCATTTACGTTAACATCTGTTAAGAAACACAAGTGTAATTGTTAGTTACAATGAAGTAACAACAACACAAAACATGTGATGTTTGTTTTGACAAACAAACAAATACACAAAACTTTTGAACAGCTGCCAGGATTATCATTAAACACAAATAATGTAATATACAAGTAGCCATTAATGTGCTTGATGTCCAGTTTCTAGATATGGGAAATGACCTAGATTCAGGTAGACTAAACCAGTTTGGTTCATTAGGCGACAAATCTGTATGTAAGTATGTACTTTGTATCTTGAACTTGTTGCAATACTTTCACAAAATATTACAACTTTTTAAGGAGCAGAAGGTAAGCGGGCATTTTTTTAAGGGGGAATATCATCGAATGTCTGCTCCCGCCTGGGTGAGGCGGGAGGGAGTTTCAGACTAACTGACTAAAAACCATCCCGTTCCTTCTCCTGCACATCGAGCCGGAGCCCCGGTAACCCGTTAGGTTCTTTGCGACTCCGAAGCGGTATCGGCCAGGGTAAGCGAGCATACGGTCTATTTGATGGTCAGTGATTAACGCCGCCCATGGACACCCGCAACATAAGACGAGTTACAAAATGTGGTATACAGACTAATAACTAATTAAATATAGTCAACTGGCAGCTGGTATGGGATTTGCACCAGATCTTTCTTTAAATTTCGAATTGCTTTTTCGTTTTAATAAAAACATTGTCATAAAAATAAGAAAAAACTTTCAATTTATAGCACCTAGTTTTTCTCAATTTTTGCACACGGCAACAAAATTCGCGATTTAAAAAAATATTTTATGCATCAAGTTATGTTTGTATCTTGCAATTTCCCTCAATAACTTGTTCACTTACTCATAAACGCAAAGGTTTGGCAGGTCAAGGCAGACTGGTCAATTTAATGTTGTCCATGTCAAATCACTGTCAGTTTTTCCGTACCAACACCTTATCATTTATCTGATTGATGTTTTGATAAATTGATTATTTTCGGGAAAATATTAGGTCAACGTGGGCATTAGGAGATAAGGTTTCTTTCATGTTTTATTAGACTTACTAAAAATATATTCATTTTGACTAACAAAAGGTTTTAGGAGAAAATATTTTAGTATAACAACAGAAAAACATTCCTTTTTATAATATCTTCATCAGCTATAGAACTGTTAGTATTGTTGTTAGTAGCTAGCTCTGTTTGTTTGTAAACTTGTAATTAACTAGGGTTTAATGTTAAATAGCCTAACTAATGAGTAGTTTGTTTAAAACCTAATGAATAACTAAGAATAAACCTATAAGTTAAAACAGTCAATCCTACAAAACACAAATGTCTCAAGTATCGCTTAGTGCAACCATGAAACTCGATGCCTACCACAAACCTATCGTCTGTGACAAGTCAGTCAAGAATTTCCTATAACTTGTATTAATATGGATACCTATACAAAGTGATAAAATAACATAACATAACACCATTGTCATTACAATTATGACTAAGGTACAGCATGTTTACGCTAAATGTACCATGGTACCATGTGTCTAAAGAATACTAATTGTACATGCTTATAACACTAGATTACAACGCAGGATGTTCGCCAGATAATTCTTATTAAATATGCAAGAATGTTTAAACATGACCAAAATGACAATACATAAGTGACCTAGAGAATCAATTACGCAAAGTTTGTTGTTAGAATTCAATAATTAATTGGGTACCTACTTCCTCATTGGACTAACACATCCTGTATTTGGAGTATTGACAGATAGATGTTAAAATAAAAAGTAAACAAAGAAACTATAAATGATATAAATTTTGTACCTTGTTATTCTCTCATGTTCTCATTACAAATTACAACTAATTAGCTAAGCTACTGGCCAGTTGAAAAAAAAAGGAAATAAAAAGTCAACTTTGTATATTTTTTTACAATCTGGCATAAGAAGAATTTAGTAAAACTAGAATAGTTAATATTATTATAATACCACATAATTATATGGATAGCAAACACTATTACATTATTAGTAATTTACAAAAAACAATGTGTTATCATCTTTATTTTTAAACATTATTAATATTGATTTATAACAATACCTAAATTAAAACCTGAATATCAGATTTAAAAATAGAAATTCAATGTTATTTATAAGTACCTAGCTTATTTATAAACTGGTTTATTTATTTATTTATAATTCATGGTTTCAATAATGTGACTCAAAAATAGATCTGTAGGGTAGAAGACCATACACACACAAAATCCAATTGGAGTATTCAGTTTATGTTTCAGATTTTTTAATAGACAAAGTTCTAATAAAAAATATCAAAACAATGTTGATAGACTCTATGTTTATTATACAAAACCCACTTCAAGTGATTTAAATTGCCTCAAGGTTTAGAGTGAACATTATGAACAGATGAATAATTTATTGCACACTGAAACACCAAAATATATGTCCCATAAGATATATTTCAATGATTATTATTGTCAGAACACATAAATTATATCCATATGAATTCCATATTTCAATGACAAATAAGAAAAATAGGAAGAATATCAGAGTACCTTAACTTTTGGGGATATATGAAAAAAAGGACTTACCTATGTCAGTGATTGGTGCCTTTGTACTGTATCCTTTGAGATGTCCAGAGTCGCAATCATCAAGTAATTCCGGTTTCTCCGGTAAACCAGCGATAACAAAGTAATCGGCGACTTTCCGCTCATCCATGTTTTATAATTTTACATGCGAGTACCTACGACAAAAATCTCGTGGTCACACCAATGTCAGCAATAAGAAAAATAAATACAACCTTTACTTCTAAGGTTAACGAACATTTACAACACCAATTCATGTACTCTTGTAAACAGACCAGTTTATATAACACAGAGATAGTTAAAATAAAAATAAAAAATGCACCAATAACATGAAACCCTTGAAGTGAACTTACAGTTTATTGCTACAGTTAACAATTTGAGCATGAACACGTCACACATCGTTTTACGTAAATATTTTATTTATAGATTTATTGCGTTGCCATTTAAAATCACTGCTTAGTTTTAACACAGAGGTGCACTCGAAAATTATTCGCTTTTATTGAGACTTTTGCAAAACGTCATTTTGTCCGACAACAATCGGCCATAGACAATATTTACTTTTGCTTCTTCATCCCAAAAAGTGACAGACAAAAGCAAACAGATTTACAGCCTATAGGTAGTGGTCAAATGCCACATTTTCAATTTCTATTAGCTAAGTTTACTGTAAATTCATTTAAACGTGTATGTTTTAATTATGAACGCCTAGATAACGTCAGTATTAATGTAAAATGCGAATAAGAAAAAGCATAGAGTTATTGCCATAGATTGTAATTTGTGACATTTTTTCAAAGTAATATTACAATAATTACAATATTATCACGACTTTTAAAAGAGGCAATGTTTTACATTTTGTTAAAATTTCGTTCTTTATCAAGTCCGATAATCTACCTAAACTTCGTTTAATTCAGGGTCGCGTCGGTATGACAAGTCGACGTTTTACATTTGGTTGGAACCATCTACACTCACTCAATGGAGTGAGTTAAAATATTTTCAGTGTAGCTTGTAGTTATTATACTTTAGTAATTTGTAGAGATCGGATTGCTGAATTTTTCTTAATGCAAGAAATATGATTTAATTAGAATTAGATTAGACCTTGGTCAGGCTTAAGGTTCAGTACTTAACTCTTCTTGAAATATAGTAACTGGAATAATAACTAATACTGTACTCAAGGCATAGTAAGATCTAAAAAGCGTAAATTGTTTATAGTTAAATTATTTGGGATTCATAACATAAATACTGAAAAGTGAGTGTTACATTGCAATGGTATAATGTTATGTTATGTTTTTATTTATAGTTAATTAAACTCAACATTTTTATGCAACATTTCGGTTTATTTAATAAAACTAAACATCAATTACAATTTCTTTCAATGCTTTAGTTGATGGCGCTAAACTATCACTCAAATCCACTGTATCACTGGCATTACTAATTTGTGCTCCGGCCATTAAAAGGTTGATAGCTCCTTCTAACTCACTTACTTTCTTGCAAACTTCTATTTCATCTTCTATCTGTTTCATCAGAGAAGTGTATAACCATAGATTCAATTCAGAAAATGTTGTATTCAATTGATTTTCAAAAACATCCACAAATACATTGGATGCATCTATTATTACTCTGGTAAATCTTGTTTCTCCTAGATTTTTCTTAAAATATTTCAGTAATGTTCCTATATCTTTTTCATTTAGTCCATCCATAGCTACATGTAAGACTTTTCTTCTCAACATCTCTTGTATCAAAGCAGCTGTCTTCTCTGGGAATTTAGTTGCCACATATGTTTTTAGACCAGCTGATAGAGCTTTCGTGAACTCCATTTTTCTAAGGAAGTTGTCATATTCAGCACCTTTTGGTGTTTTAAAACTAATTTTCTTGCTTAAATCTTGCTTATCCTCCTCAAACAGAGAAGTTTGGACATGGTCTGGAACAAATTTAAGTAAACCTCTTTTCTCATAAGATTGTTTTGCTGGCTTTTCTCGTTTTCTAATAGATATGATTCCATCAATCATGCCTACTGCTAGAGTATCATCTTCTTTAGATATAGCCATGCTTAATACAGCATTAGGGAAATCGATATTATGAACAACTTTGAAAGTTGATATGTCATAAATCTTAACATGTCTGTCCAAGGACGCTGATAGCAGTCTGCTGTTGTTACTTGCCAGTCGTAATGTGGTGACAGTTTTGTGATGTTGAGAAATATTAGCCAGCTGTTTTCCTCCATTGAAGATGTCCCAGACTTTGATTTCTGTGCCACCAGCACTGATGAATATGCCTCCTGAGGGTAGGAATAATGTAGACTCAACAGGACTGCCATGGTTCACAGAAAGTACTGTTTCATTTGATCTACAGTCATACAGTTTAACTGAATGGTCATAACTTCCCGATAAAATAATATCTGGTGAGATAGGACTAGCAGCTCCAGCTCTGACATAGTCTGTGTGTTCAGCAAAAGTAGCAATTTTCTCTTCTGTGGCTATGTCCCATAGACAAACTGATTTGTCATCTGAGTAACTCAGGACTTTCACATGATCCTTTGTGAATAATGTTCTGTGCACCTGAAATTATGATCAAAATTAAAATTACTGTTTTAATACAACTATAAGTAAATCTTCAAATATGATATTTAGCTTTAGCTAGACACATTGATATCTTACTGTGATTAGTTATAAGTTATATGGGATAAGTTGATTATGTTTTAATTTACTAAATAGTTCAGCTATACTTACAGGACCTGTATGACCAGTAAACACTCTAAGCACATTCTTTGACTGGACATCAAACAGTTTGACCGCTGCCTCTTCACTTCCAGCCACTAAGAGTCTTCCATCACCTCTAAATGTAGCACCATATGCAGCTTCCACGAATTTTGAGATGTTCTTTGCAACTACTTTTGTAATTGGATCATAGACCTGAAATGAGAATTTTTATGGTCACAACTTAGTTTTATATCGAAATGGTCATTATACAGTTGCAATTATATATAATACATAATACATATATATAGTATTTTTTTTTAAGGGGGGAAAATCATCGAATGACTGCTCCCGCCTGGGTGAGGCGGAAGGGAGTGTCAGATTCTTACTGACTAAAAACCACCCCGTTCCTTCTCCTGCACGTCGAGCCATGCTCGCCGTCCGCAGGCCCGCGCTTACGGTGGCCGGAGATCGTCCCACGATCCCCGACGCCCGGTGTGTCCTTCGTGATGGCTGGGTTGCGAGGAGGCAGCGCTTCGCTGCCTCACGCGTCCCGCCTCCTCCTTAGCTAGCATGACTGCTTCGCAAAAGGAGGAGACGGCATCACAGTCCCCCTCGATATATATAGTATACATAATACATAGGTACCTGATATTAGGCACTAGTCGGAAATCCCAAAACAACCTCATATTGTATTAGTATTAATAATGTCTAGGCATATTCAACTATGATAATATTGACTAGGGAATATAATACATAATTTACCAACCTGTACTCTGACTGAACATGTTGCAGCGAAGTAATAGGGTTCTACAGGGCTGAAGTCCAAATAATCAATAGCACCAAACTCTTTCACTAACACCGGTGACTGAAAGTAAAAGATACATTAACTACACTGTTCTTATTCACAAATCTTAAGTAATTTACTAAAATGCGAGCACTTACTCCTAACTTTTTCCAGTAAATGTTATCCTCGGTAACTACAGAAGCCGGCTTTTGATAAACAGCCTTACTTGTTTTCTTAAAAGGGTATGAAATGTGTGCCATGTTCGTAATATAGTGTAGCTGTAAGATTATCACTTATACGATTGGTTTATTTAAAAACATCCCGACGTGGTTTTGCAACTTTTGACAGAAGGTATTTGACAGTTTTTGGGAACAGATTATAAAACAACACGTGCAACTGACAGGTTCACAGATTACAAGAATCATTTGGAATCAAAAAGATTTTGATGTAAAATTGTATTAATGCCCAACTTATTATGATTCTATTTGAACTTGATTTGAACATAATATTTCAGTAAAGTACATAAAATACGAATTTATCATTAAAAACTGTATTTACTGATAAAGAATCATAGACTAAATACATTAAAGTCTAGAATTAAAACATATACAATTTTGTCTGTGATTGATTGTCAGAAATGTGCCGTAACAAAAATAACATAAGTTTATAAGTTTAATATTGAATTTTAACCTGATAGTATACAACTAACTAAGTCAAAATGTTCAAATTATTGAGAGGCCACGGCCGCCCACGAAGTGCTGTTATAAATTACATGTCTGATAAATGTTTTGAGGTTAGAAAAGCAAAGGTTTATTACGTATATTCCTCAGCAGCATCAGTAAGGTTTAATTCGACTGCTGTCAGCGATGCAGGTAAAACAGCAACCATAGTGGAAAATATACCAGAACCACCTCCAGTACCTGATCCTTCGACCCTTGTCGACTTGACTGAAACAGTACAAACTGTGGCTGCAAATGGAGAGCCTACCTTAGCTAGTCTTGGCCTCGGAGGTTGGTCACCTATTGGGTTGGTACAACATTGTTTGGAGTTTCTTCATATTTCCCTGGATGTACCTTGGTGGGGAGCAATTGTCATTGGTACCATATGCGTACGTTTAGTCATGTTCCCGTTGGTCATTATATCGCAAAGAAACACAGCTGTCATGAATAATAATTTGCCAGAAATTCAGCTTCTTCAAATGAAAATGACAGAAGCAAGACAGACTGGAAATCAGCTTGAAGCAACTCGGTATGCTCAAGAAATGGTTGGATTCATGAAAGAAAAAGGTTTGAATCCTCTGAAAAACATGTTGGTTCCTTTAGCTCAGGCTCCATTGTTTATATCATTCTTTATTGGATTGAGAAGGATGGCTAACTGCCCTGTGGAGAGTATGTCTTATGGTGGTCTTGCCTGGTTCACAGACCTGACTGTGCCTGATCAGTTTTTCATTCTTCCTCTTATAACTAGTGCCACTATGTGGGCTACCATAGAATTGGGTGTGGATGGAGGTCGTCTTGAGGCACAGAACATGGTAATGATGAGATACTTCCTTAGAGCTATTCCTATTGTCATGATTCCATTCACAATTAACTTCCCTGGGGCCATTTTAGTTTACTGGTGTTCCAGTAACTTCATATCTCTTCTTCAAGTTGGTTTACTTAAGGTACCAGCTGTCAGGGATTATTTTAAGATTCCCAAACTAATTAAACACACACCTGAAGCCCTACCAATGAAGAAAAAAGGTTTTATTGATGGAGCTAAGGATTCCTGGACTAATATGAAGATCTCCAAAGAGTTGGCTGAAAGACAAAGGATAGATGAAATGATATTTACAAAAGCTGGCAAAGGACCTCTACAGAAGACATACAAGTTTGACCCAACAAAGTTATCGAGTGTACAAGCAAAGTCTAAATAATTTTTAGATTGTTAAATTCTGTTTTAGTGTAGATTATTATGTATTAAATAATGTTTAAAGTAAGATGTTTTTTTACCTTGCTTATATTTTCTTTCTCTTGTATTATGAATTGTATTTAATTAGTAATTTAGACTGCCTCATTGGCCAAGTGGTTACAAGTGCGACTGCCGGGGGAGGGGTCTCGGGTTCGATTCCCAAGTCGGGCAAAGTATTACTTGGTTTCCCTCAAAGGTAACACGGAGTCTGGAATTGTGCCTGGTCTATGGCAATAGGCTCACCCCCTATTACATGGGACTCGTAACATAAATAGTGAAATGTTGTTGGTTGTACAGTGGCATTAAGTGCCGTAATGTGCACTTCTGCCTATCCTTTCGTGGATAAAAGGCGTGATGTTATGTTTTGTGTAGTAATAAGGAATAACCTACACTTAACTGGTTATTGTACTGATAATGTTCATCAACACATTGTGTCCTAATTTTAATGAAATTCCTAACACTATAACATATCTAAGGGAACAAGGTGTTATAGAAAGTAAACACCCATTTTTGTTACAATTAGGTATTCTCAGGTGTAATACTTTGTGGGCCGCAATAGTTCTTGGTACTTGCGTAGATTGCAAGATGGCACCACTGTTGAGTTTTTCAATTACTCATAGCTATGTCAGGCAGACATTCACATGCAGGCAATTTTTAATGTAAAGTCTACACAATTTTTTGCAAATTTCTCTAAGTCACCCGTAATATGGGGTGCGCCTAGGGTTGCCAACTTTTTTTAGAAGAAATAGAGTAGGTATTACACAGGACTTACAAAAAAGAGGATCATTTATTTTGTGCTTTTCAAAAGGTATTTTTCGTACTTTTGCTGCACAACAACTTTTCTTTTAAAATAAAAATACAGTCTAATTACTATATTAGGTTAGCCTTTAAAGGTAGGTTATTGTACGATGTCTATATCAAATTTCATTCGATTCGGTCCAGTACTATTAATTACAGAGTGCTATTGTGTGAAAAATTGAAATATCGGATTACTATTAAAAATACACTACCAAATTTCACTGAACTAAAGATTTTTAAATGATCACTTATGTATTAACATTAAATACTTAGGAGACTTGTTATTCTGATCATGAACTTTTGTATATTATTACAGACTTAAAACTGGACTAGTTAAGTAAACTTTGTGTAAAAATGAGTATTTTAGCGTACTCTATTAGTGGTACTTACCTACATAATAGATTATTGAGTGCGCCTACATTATTTTGTAATACTCTATTTTAGAGCACGGTTGGCAACCCTAGGTGCACCCTTCTCCCATATTATGTTCAGGCAAAATTTCCACAAATTATGTTACCTACCTATGGCTAAATACCTAAGTATGGTACTTTAACTTAATAAATTCTACTTTGGACGACTTTGGAATCAAACACTCCTTGCTCGGCAGCCGATATTGCGACGACTCGATTACCAAGATAATAAAGTTAATATTTAAGACATAAAAACCTAACTCATCCAATAAAATAAATCAAGTAGCTCATAAACAACAATAAGATGAGAATATTAAAATACAAATGAAAGTACCTACTCAAAAAATACGTAGGTATTGTGCCAGGCGTTGGGTCTCGGAATGTTTTCGACGGAAATAATAATAAAGAGGGAAACCATTGCCGTTTGAACAAAGCAAAGGCTCAAAGGCTGAATGCTTAGAACGCAATTACCGATGTCGAAAGCGGCCCGTGTGGAGCGAACTTTATTATGTATACAATTACTTTCGTACCTTCCTTAAATAGAGTTATGTGCTTACTTGAATCAAAAATGTGTAATAAACTGGTTTTGTTTGAAGTTTCTTATTAATTCAACCAACAAACATCAATCTATGTATTCGTTTATAATAGAAGGTGCACCCTATCATTAATCCTCAAATCCTTAACCCTAAAACAGCCGGGTAACGCACTCGTAATTCCTCTGTACTAGTATGTATTACGGGTGTCCATGGCAGGCGATTGCCAGTTATTGAAGAATTGGCACGGGAACTCATTTAGATGAAGAGAACAGTTTTTTGGATAAGGTATGTTTTTTAACGGAATAAACCGGTAAACGAGCACACGGATCACCTGATGGTAAGCAATCGGCGTCGCTCATGGACACCCGAACTCTAGAAGCGTTACAAGTGCGTTACCGGCATTTTGGGATTAGGAATTTGAGGAGAATTGTTGGGAGGAATATATGGGCCTCTAATAACCTCACTCACACGACGAAACACGACGCAAGTATTGTTTCACGTCGGTATTTGTGTGAGGCCGTGGTATCACTCCGGTCGAGCCGGCACATTCGTGCCGAAGCATGGCTCTCCCACAAATAAAAAAATGTCCATCAGTTTTAAAAGACAGGCTGCAGATGATAACTACAAAAACTAATCAGACACCAAGCAAAATAAATTTTATGTGTATTCTTTTTATTGTGAGTTTTATGATAATATCGAGCAATACCAAACTGAATTACAAAGTCAAACCTGATTTATTTTGTATCGGAAAAAACTTGTATCTTAACGGGCAATTATCCTGAACTTACAAGCAAGTAATGAGCCTTACCTACTTGAAAAGGAAATGTAAAAACGGTGCTTTCGGTTCTCTATTATTTTATTCAGTGTTTTTATCTCATTATTTCTCATTGTGAAATGTCTATCTCTATGAGATTCTTTGTGATTGTTTTTAAAGGCAAATAACTTTCTTGCTTACTAGTTATTTTCTATTTTGACTTACCTTTCGTAATAAAAGTTAACTTACTGTAATATTGCTATTATTGAAATGTAATCTTTTGTTATCACATACCTCCTTATCTATGATAATTTGTTGTATAAATATCAGTACATAACTAACTAAATACCATCCTACTATCAATGAGTATCCGTAAGTAATGATATGTTCCTACTAACAATGCGTTAACAAAACCATCGCAACACGTATGTACCTACTTATGTTCAATATACAGGGTGGAATTTTCTAATGCCACTTGAAGGGGAAGTACTCTTAATACTTTAGATAGAAAGTTTTACTCTAAGAAAACATTACTTTATTTTCGAAAAAAAAAAGAAAATATCATTCAAAGATTTTTTAAAATTCGCTTGCCACACACGGTAATCGAACCGACTAAAATCTGTAAAAGTTGCACCCAGTACTTTTATCGCATTGATCGTTAGGTTCAAATCTCTTTAACAAACTTCATAAATTGAATGTCGCATTTTATAATTGTTGTAGAACAAATTAAGTTGTGTGTGTGATTCACCAACACAGCCCTGAGAGGTGTTTTACCAATAATCCTGTATATACATATAAGCATATAAGTAAGTAAGTAAGAATAATAAACTACTATGGTAAGAGAACTAATAAATATATAGTGCCAAAGATATTCAATAAATTGGATATATTGAGAGAGGAAAATAAAGTGAGTTTGTTTATGTTGTAGAAGAGGCTAAGGGGAGAATTGCTTAAGAGAGCATAGGCAATGCATTTTTTAATTTCTATCATTTATAATGTGTATTTTTTATTATGTTTATTTTTTTGTTTTTTTTTATTTCAGTTATCTTTTAATGTTATATAAAGTACTTAATTAGCTAATAAGAATAAGAAATGAGCGTTTCTCGCCGTTAAACGATATGTTTGGCGAGGATCTTTAATTTTATGAACACAATGTTATTCCTAAATTGTACTTTTGTTAAATAAATAAATAAAATAAAATAAATAAGTACGTAATATATATAGGTACATTCAAAATGTGTATCGTAGTTACATAATATCGACTATTCAGCTACGTAGCAGCACCACAAATAGAAAACACTATCATCACTAGCAAATAAAACGGTCTACGATTCTACGACTACGAAAAAAGTTTAATAGTACCTACAGCTACATCAATTTCGTAGGCGTCGTAGCCAAGTTATAGTGCACACTTAAGGTTTAACATAAATGTTTAATGTCTTTAGAGTTACGATCAAAGGGAATGGAATATTAATAAATGGATTTGTATATTTAATAACTAGTGTTACTAGTATCAGTTAATTGCTACGATGCGCGTAGCGAATGTTCGTAGTCAAATGCTACGCATATTTCGTAGCTTTGCTCTTTCTCCGTAGCCGATACTGTTCTGTTCTGTTCAAAGAAATTAAAGTATTATGTCAATACCAGTAAAAGCTACATTAGTACGTACCTATAATAGTAAAGTAGTTAGTTGAAAGATCGTCGTACACTATCTTTACCAAGGCAGTTTACCGTTTATTGTTGGGCAAAGTCCGAGCTTAAATAGTAATGGAGAACCCGTTTTGAAGTTGAAACTTCCGAATTTTGAAGTGGCCTTACTCGGAACTTTCTTGGGTACTTGGTACACTTACTTTGTCTTAGAACCCGTCTATAGACCGGTTATTCATTTGGTAAAATACGAACAAAACATTATTCAGTAATTAGGGGTAAGGAAGGGTCATTGTTATTTACACACACATGTATAGATATGAACATAAATAGGTATTGTGTAAAGTCTTCCTGGCTTTAGTGTTCGAATTTTGAATTACTGATTTTGTTTTCGTTGGTTTCAGTGTTAGGTATATTTTGTGAAGCAAAACCTTAGAGACACGTATTATGACTACGCCTTTGTAATATGTGTACCTTCTACTAGTACAGCATTACAGGGATTAACAAACTAATAGCTATGTTATATTATTAAACTACACTCAGGAAATATAGGAGGAAAGGTATCATTCCCATTATTAAAACTTTATCTATTTGCAAATAAGAAATGGGATTAAATTCACGGGGGAATTCAATGCTAGCCAATTGTAATACGTATGTGTTTATATTAAACGTAGGTATGTAGTACCTGACCTATTTAATCGCGTTTATGAACTCCGAACTATTAATTGTTCAAGTGGCCTGCCGATATGTCGGGCTAAACGTTTTGCTAAACTAAAAACTAGTTCCTAACGAGTGAAAACCTACCGTTTGTATGTTTAGG